GTCCAACTTTACAGCAGAAATAAGCCTTTTGTAATAGAGCTTTTGGTCTCTAGAGCTAATTACCCCGTTCATTACAACTGTAAACTCAGCTGTTTGAATTATATTAAGGATTAAACTTAAGTATATTTAAGTGATCACCTCACTGTCACAGGCTTCATTCAGCCCGCTTCTTTGCCCAGTTTTGGATTAGCCAGGAGCCGGTGGAGTATTTTTTTTACGTTTTCTAGCACGCCTTAAAATCAAAAAGGCCTCACGACCCCTATGAAGTTCTGGTGACCTCTAGTGGGGGCCTTGACCCCCAGGTTGGGAACCAGTGTATAACCTAACCAAAGTGCAACTGTTTCACAACGTTAACTGTGTGTTTAACGTGACTTTAAAAGGAAACTTCTTCTGTATTTTGCTCCGTTTGTAGATAAAACGTGTCATTCTAAAGTAACAAAAACACAAAGATTCTTATATTTAGTTGATTAAACACTAATGACAAAATACATATTAATATTACATTATATTTCTGACATTAGATCCTCCTGATTGTTTCACACTGGACCTTTAACAGCCTTCAGATTTGACCTAGTTTGGTTTCACTTTAAAATGTTCAACCTCTGAAAAGAAACAAACAAACATCCGCTGCTTGTGTCTCGTCTCTCCTCCCAGATTGAGATTCACTGCGAACAAAGTCGGTTTCTTGTGTTTGTGGACGGCCAGCAGCTGTTTGACTTTTACCACAGAGTGACGTCGCTCAGCGATATCGACACGTTGTGGATCAAAGGCAGCATCGCCATCACTAAACTGGCTTGAAGTGAAGGACACTGGTCTGTATTTACTCTGGACATTTTAGTAGCAGGTGTTCAATATGGAGACAATTTAGGGTCAATATTGGTGATAAATATGTGTTTTATGATCTATAAATGATGTATGAAGGTTGACAAACATGTAAATTATTAGTTTGAATTGGTTGGTATTTGTTAGTGGACAACCAATCATCTTGCAGCTCATTGAACACACAGTTTCTCTCCATAGTTTAAAAATGGATATTGATCTTAGAAGCAGGGGCGTGTCCAGAGAGGG